ATTTGAGGAAAAAAGAGCACAAATCTAATCGAAATCGAGGTAGAAAAAGCCAGTTTGCTTTGATCTCTGATCTACTCGTGTAGATTCATGTTAAATATCTAGTGTATAGACTAATTTGAGTTGTAGCTATACTAAAATGGAGTATTTCAATCATAGCTCTCCTGGATGGATCTTTTTCTTCACTCCGTTATCGAGCTGATCGAAAGTTTTCGGAACATAGCTTTTAAGCTACAGCAGATCGGACGCACCTAACTTCACTATCGCCATTTAGTATTAGTAAGTAGTACTTAAATGCAGTTTTCTTGGTGATACTTTCAAGCAGGTTTTCTATTTATGCTCTGTTATCAATCGTTTTTTCCATGACAATCATTTCGCAGCTATAAAAATGTGAAGTCTCTCAGCTAGATAGTTTTGGATTGCTACGTTTTACATGACTATATCCTTTCAGTAGAGGGTTGGCGACGCTAACGTCGCGTTACTTGTTAGATAATATTGACGAGTAGACGAAGTAAATTAAGCAATTATTTAATTTAAATTGTTTTGTTTTTATTTTAGATGATATCAATGCTTTATCCGCATAAAGTGAGTATTTATTTGATTTAAATTATCTTTATTTTAATTTTAGATAAGATCGGCGATTAGACGAAACAAAGTAAATGTTTATCTAATAAACAATTAAATTTAACTTTAATATTTATTTTATTTGATGCTTTCAGTGGATTTAAGATAAAAGAGTTCTTAAAGATGAAAGTCATATAAAGCGAAAGAGGAGAAAATGAGTTATACACCTTTGTATGCAACTCTGGAGAATCATGCATGGATCTTATAAAATCGTATAAGATCCAACAGTAAGATCATAGAGAATCGTACGGTACGATTTTATCAGACAAGTTGGCTTTGAGGTGGGCATATAGAATCTTGCAAGATTATATATGATTTTCATATGATCTTGTATGATCATGGAAGATCAGACGTACGTTCTTATATCATCTTGTAAGAATCGTATAAGATCATACAATAGGATTGTTTCACCTGGGTCTTCACGTCGTGCTAAATGAATTTGTTGCATACGATCGTGTAATTGTTCACGAAGTTCTTGAACTTCACCTTCGAGACGACGAATTTTACGTTCTAATTTTTGACGAAGCTAAAAACAAATTGAATTATATAAAAATAAATCTCCTCTGTATTTGTCGCATTGATCGTTCTTCAAGCAACTCATGTCGCCTCTTTTTTACCAACTGCGTCGCAGTTGCGCGTAAGTGCGGCGCATTGATCGAAGTGAAAATCTGTATCAGAAACTGCGGTTACTGCGACGCAGACCAACGTAACTACGTCGCAGTAATTGCATCGTACAATCCACTGTAACTGGCACCGACCAATGATAAGTGATTGCTCCTTATTTATAATTGGTCACACTCCAGCAGTAAAACTTAGCCAGAGAAAGATCGTATAAATATAAAAAGCAGTGTCCACGACATTTCGGCTCATAACTCATTCTACTACAAAAAAGGTAGAATATATATTTCACAAATAATTTTTCAATTTTTTTTTCTAACTCCTTTAATTTTTCTCAAAGCTTTCTATTTTTCTATTTTTTATTTTTTTTAACTTTCAATTTTTATTAATATTTTAATTTTTGTATTTCTCTATTTTTTTTAAATATTTCTAATTTTTTAAATTTTTAAATTTTTTCAAATTTTTTTACTTTTTTTTAGATTTTTATTATTTTTTTTTTTCTTAATTTTTATAATTTTTTGTAGTTTTTTATAATTTTTGTAAATTTTTTATCAGTAATTTTTTTAAAATTCATGTTTTTAGTTTTTTATAAGAATTTTCAATTTTGCAGCTTTGTAAAGCTTTTTATTTTTTTGTGTTTAAAGAAATTTGTTTAATTCTCAATAAAAATATTAATAAAATGAAAACCTTATCTATATCATCGCTTTTAGAAATTGCGACGCAGTTATGCGCAACTGCCTCGCAGTTTGACCGCAATCGAACACATGGGAAACCATGAAGTAGGGTTTGCCCGAACATGATCAATGCTTTTATTTTTCCACCTTCACTAAGCTCACCGCTAAATGATACGGATTTCGACATGAGAGGTCGGATCCGCTTAAGCCAAGCGGTAAAGTTACTTGGTGCCCAAATTGAGCACTGAGTTCAACCTCTTCAAGGAAGTTGCCCACGTGGTATTTAACGAGCTAAGCTCAGCTGTCACTGAGCCAAGCTCGATTTCGACAGAACCGAGCTTGGTTTTCACCATGCCAAGCTCGGTTTTTACTGGCGAGATGACGTCTTTCACCATCAACTCTAGTCTTTTTTCGTGGGTTACTCCCGGAACTAACTAAAAGAGAAAAACATATTTTAGTGTTGTGCTTAGTGTTTTAGCAAGAAAATGCCCTAGAGAGTCCATACTTCGTCTTTTTAAATTGCCATGCTTTTTCTCGTACTCTTTTGTTTTGACTTCTCTTCCTCTGAAATATATATTGTTTTTCTTTTGCTGGTGACTGGTCAATCAAACCGACTGCGTCAGTGCATTCCTGAGTTCCATAACTGTCACTATCATCTACTGGGATCATCTATCTCTGACAAGCTGCTATCGTAGAGAAAATGTGTTCTAATTCATAAAGGCCTAACGCAAATACATATCTCAAGTGTTCTCTGTATGGAAAATCAATTAAAATTGCGATTCATAAAGAAATGCCCAGCAATTTAATGTTTTTTTCGCGGCGAAATTTTTAAGAGAGCGTCCATGACAGTACCAAGGAATGAAAGCATTCTTTACAATGAAAAGTTTCTATTTTTCTTGTGCATTCAAAAGTACAATGTCTTAAATTACTAAACCCAAATTTTCAGCTCATTTGGATTTTTTATAGTAATGTTTCGGTTTCTGCAAAGTGAAAATTTTCATGATTCAAAGACGTCGAAAGATGCCCGAGATCGTTTCTCTTGAGGTTGTTTACCTTGCTACTGACGGTGTTTGCTACTTTCTGTACGCATTCTAGACTTTCTTTTCCTATTTTGTTACCATTTTGTAAATAAAAAAAATTACATATGATATAAGAAATCCAGCGTGAGATCTCTTGATTTTAGTAAATAGCAGCAGATATACTTCCAAAAGTTGGACGCCATCGACTAGTAAATTTGTACCTTTTTCACTCATGTTAGTCGAGTATATGAGCGATATAGAATATTTAAAAGAGCTATTTTTTCATCTGTGTATGTTCTATCGTTTGGCATATTGCATGAAAAAAATCTCTCCCATCTGGTAGTATAATTTTAGTAGATATTTATGAGAAAATTCATAACTTTTTTCTTAATAGCTAGTGGCGGTGCTAGAAGTGGATCAAGGCTAACTTTACTGTAAAAAATCCAAATGAGCTGAAAGTTTGGGTTTACTAGTTTTACACATTGTACTTTCGAATGCACAAAGGAAATAAAAACTTTTAATTTTAACGAAAGCTTCGATACCTTGGTGCTGTCTTGGACGCTCTCTTAAATTAAACAACAGAAGAATCTTAAAAATTCCGAAACTCACTAGTTGGTTTCTCAGAGGACAACATAAATAAAAATTAATACAACACTTACGTTGTCGTTACTGGACATTTTAATATTATGAATAGTCTTTTGATTTTCATCGTCTTTTATAGATAGCCTGCTTCATCTATTATTCTCTCTCTTTCTCTCTCTCTCAGTTTCTCTTAGGTATCGAAATAACTACTTATTTTTGTCTAGCTGATGTTCACGTGGTGATCACTATTCGAATAAACACATAGAACGTAGATGATCCAAACAAGCAATTATATAGTGTATAATAGATTTTTAATTCTTCTCTCTGCCGCATCACTAGGCCTCGAAACTATTCAAATGCCTCGATCTATAGACAATACAATACGATAAACGATAATTTTCTCAAAATATTGTCGTCATTTTCTGCTTGAAAAATATGTTGTCCTCAAATGAACTTTAAAAATTTTTTCGATTTTTATCTATCAATATTTTCTTGATTGCCCACCGCAGAATTTTCGAATCAACTTTGTTCTATCAACCGATTTTTTTTCATATGTGAATGAGCGACTGTGTTTTGAAATATAAAATTTCTTTTTAACAGGAGTGAAAATTTGTTGTACTTGACGATGTCATAAAGAAAGACTACTGACAATGACAGAATTTATTTTTGCAGAAAAACTGTAAAAGTAAACTCTGTCTCGACTAAGTTTATGTTGAATACCTCGTGACATTGTGCAATTACATTTAGTACTATGCAATAGTCACTATATGACGTAACCATAGCAATGTTTTTTCGTTCTTCATATAGTATACATATAGACTGTTTCAAACTAGCGAACTAATGTTTATACTATACGATGACGTAATTAGAGTCAATGTACCTAAAGCGAACGGGCATTTCATAGGTCTTCATTGTGAGTGTGATATCTCTATCATTTTTCATCATAAAATAATTATTTTTATATCACGAGAAAGAAAACAAAATTCTGCATCTGCTCATATAAAATTTTTTTTGTAGCTATAAGTATTGTTGAGTAATCAGCGGTAGAAAATGGAAAATTAAAAACGTTCGCTTTATGTGCAATGTTTCTAAAGTGAACGTCCAGCAAGAAAATGTCCTTAAAGCGAACGCACCAGCAAAAAACAAGCAAAAATAAAAAAATGATATTATTTTTCTGTTTCTGTTCACAAATTTCAATTAAATTTTATGAAATTTATATCATTCGATTCGTCATCCTTAACTCTATCATTC